GAAGAAAATATCAAAAAGTTAAAAATCCAGAAATAGTCCTAATTTTATGATGGTTCCTTAATTTATTTTAACTACATTGCATTTGAGTATGGAGAGGCAACTATCTGGAAGTATTTTACATAAAAAATTTAATAAGTATTGCCCGGTTTGTAGTTGCAGTTAAAAAAAACACATGAAAAGACACGATTTTTTTTAAATTCGAAAAAATGTAAATATTTCAAAAACGGTGACACTTTTACCTGAAAATTTTTTGTTTATCAGTGAGCTTACCCCCCCACCTACCTTCCCCTAAAGTTTGGCACGTTACTTCTGGGACACCCTGTATATTGAATAAGAAATTATTGGAATTAGTATCGTGAATGCATTGCCGCCCTCGAGGTAGATATATTTACGTTCTCTGAGCAAACAAGTAAGCAGGAAACCCAAACTAGTTTGGCGTCCGCGGTAGCCCAGTGGTCAAAACTGTGTACTACAGCTCAGTAGGACGCAGTTTCCATCCCCACTTCGAGAAATTCTTAAAAAATATTTATATTTTATATTTTGTTATTCTTAATCATATCTATATATCACCCTACTTCCTACTATCATTACTTCCTTACTAATATTATAAATCCGAAAGTGAGTTTGTTTGTTTGCTACGCTTTTACGCTTTAACTATTCAACCGATCATCATGAAATTTTGCACACTGCTGTCATTTAGCCCAACTTAAAATATAGGATACATTTAATCTCGATTAGGCAAGAGGGCGTGGAACCTCCCATACAAACGTATACTCTGGAAATATTTTCGATAGATTACTGGAACTTGGTATGAAGATATATCAAATCATTCTCTATTCATGGATGAGGGCTGCCACCTTTTAAAAAAATCGAATTCAACTTCAATTATGGGAGTTATTTATTTAAACATTATATTAAAAAATGGATCTCAAGAGGCTTAAAAAAGCTGTAGTTTGAATATATTTTGAAAAGGGTTGCCACTTGTTTGAAAAGTAAAATTTAAATTAATTATACGCAAGCTATCTGAAGAACTAAAATATGGTTGTCAAACAAAATATTGTTAAGAAACCTTTAGTTTTAAAGTTTTGAATAATATTGAAGTCTTTCACAAGGGTTGCCACCTTTTAAAAAAATTAATTCAATTAGTTTAAATAAAATATTATAATATTTTTTTTATTGAAACTTTTGGTCCAACATCTTCACCAACAATTCACGTTTACGATTTCCATTGGCACGGTCATCGGCTAAGATTATGATTTGGTGGTCGTTTTCCGCCTTAAATTTCTAATTCCCTAATTGGGTAACATTTCATAGAACGGTTAATCTCACAATGAAATAAATTTTGAAGAATTTTTTCTCTTCACTCCCTGGCGGCAACAATGATCCGGTTCTATAGTGAATCTGTCCCAGAAACTTTATAGTATAGTTGGTGGTAATTTCAAAATGGATGCGTATAATTGTTCTATAGAAATCCAATATAAATAGACTTATTTCAGGCGAAATACCTTAAAAGTAAGTTTCACGAAAGCAATTTAAGTGAAAATATTTTTTTTACTTGAATTTATTACAGTAAAAGGAGCGTGATAGTTTTGGCGGTTGATTTATCGGTGGTGATTTGAGATTTACCCATGCACAACTCAACCCTGGTGTCTCCGAATGAGGCACAACAATACCGGCAAATCACATATGTACATTGGGCCAATCGTAGCACACAAGAATTCAATATACTCAATGGTGTAACAGGTCGGTTTAATCTAACATTCAAGGCACCTTTTCTCATTTGGCTATTTTTAGTAATAACTCGACTCCAGCGCCACCTGTCAGCTCTTTTTTGCGATAGTATTGTCTTTACAGTTACCAATACATATTTTGAATATTAGCCAAAGTGGATCATAAATAAGATTTTTAGAAATAACTTAACTACAGTGCCAACTCGTGGCTGAAAAATACACAAAAAACTTCGCTAAAATCCGTCCGAGCATTTAGGAGGATTTTACTCACAAAAACACCTACAGATGGATTATATATACGTTTGTATGGCGCCACGCCCTATTTTCAAATAGCCAATTTTTCTCCATGAGTAGAAGATTGATTTCATATATCTCCACACCAAGTTCCAGTACTCTACCATGAACATTTCCAGAGATATTCGGTATAAAAAATTCGGTTTGTATGGGAGGTGCCACGCCCCCTTTATATATCGACATTTTTTAGCCTATAATAATCCTTGGGACGTTTGAAGCAGATTTCCGAAATTTCGAAAAAATCGGGTTGGCCGTTCTCGAGCTTTGCGAACACAAAAAACGGCTTTCAAAATATATATGGATTAGTATAGATTGGTATGAAGTGAAATGGTTTTGAATATGTATCACAATATGAGCGTCAGACGAAAGGTTGCCAACTGTTTAAAAGGTTAAATTCAAACTATTCAACAATTTCAATGAATTATTACAATATGGGAATCAATCATAATGCTTATAAAAGGCCTTCATTTCAAAACTACATGTAAGAGGTTTCCATCTGTTTAAAATCTCAAATTGAGTTAATTGAAAAAGTATAAAATTCAAACTATTCAACAATTTCAATGAATTATTATAATATGGGAATCAATCAAAATGCTTATAAAAGGGCTTCATTTCAAAACTACATGTAAGAGGTTTCCATCTGTTTAAAATCTCAAATTGAGTTAATTGAAAAAGTATGAGAAGTTTAAGAAATTTTTAGTTTGAAAATATTTTGAAGATGGTTAAACAAATTTTAAACCTCCTGTTTTTGAACTGAGTTTTCTTGAAATAAATTTTACTCAATGTAACGTAAAAATTTCATACACTCAGCGAAGCGGAGTGCCTCACCCTCTTTTCCAGTACTGCCCATTTTTCTCTATGCCTATAACCTTCCCAGGGTAAAAGCAAATAAGTGTGCAAAGTTTCATGTGATTCCGTGCCGCGGTTCAGAAGTTAAAAGGTAGTAAACACATTTATCCTACTAATATTATAATTGTGAAAGTTTGTATGTTTGGATCTTTGCGAAACCATCACGCGGAAACGACTGAACGGATTTTCATGATTACACAGATGGCTTATGGCCCAGATTGGACAATAGGCTAAGGAATGAAATCGATTCAAAAAAAGGTTCCGGTCTCGCTTTCGGTTTTGCAAGGAGTTTCGTTTTGGTTTCGTTCTTCAAAATTTGTTTTGGTTTCGGTTTGGTTCCCAAGGGGGAACATTTTTTTTTTCAGGTTTCGTAGATTTTGGATTGTATCTGGGTCATACATATTTTAAGGTATAGGACAACATCAATATTAACACGTATCTCCTTCTCTCAAACAAGAAAATTCACTTAATCTTGAGA